TATATTGTGATAGTAATAGATCTTGGGGGTGAACAAGAAAAGTTATGATTAATAAGTGACGTATTTGTGTCAAGTTGACAAAGGGTCAAATGTCCTGGTTAGTTTTTGTCAGCTTGACACAAATCTAGACATATGTGGGAAGAGGAAATCTTGAGAAAACAACTCTGTAAGATGGGCCTGTGCACAGGTGTATAGGGCATTTTCTTGATTAAATATTGATGTGGGAGAGCTCAGGTGATTGTGGGTGACTCCGCCCCTGGGCAGGTGGCTCTCGGTTGTATCAGAGCAAGCTGAGCAAGCCTTGGGGACAAATCAGTAGTAGCATTCCTCCAGGTTTCTGCTTCTGTTTGTGCCTCCAGGGTCCTGCCCTAACTTCACTCAGTAAGGACCTGGGAGTTGTAAGGTGAAATAAACCCTTTCCTCCCCCACTTGCTTTTGGGCATGGAGTGTTATCACAGCAGTAGAACCCCTAACTTAGAAAATACATGTATGTGTGCCATGTGGTCCTGATATCCCAGGAGTGCCAGATCCCTGGAAAGTGGAGTGATAGACAGACAGAGAATGTGTACTGGGAACCAAACCCAGGTGCTCTGCACAGCATCCAGTGCTAACTGCCGAGTAGCTCTCCAGTCCTAGATTGTGAGTTTTTTCCAAAACCGTCATTATTTCCTGCATCTTTCAGAGCACTTTTTATCAGGAGGCAAATGAACTGAAGAAAAATTTTGGTTTTGAGGGTCAAGTTACTGCATTAAAGTGATGTGAATCTTGTCAATAAACCATGTTTAGCTGATAGATTTATGTGCTTTATTCCAGGACGGAATATGTGATAGACTCACCACTTTACTATGATAAGTAAACAATTTTTTTCCTGATTTTTTTTATTGTGTTGAATAAAACCCAATTTGTTGTTTAATCTTAAGCACTCCTAACTACAAATACTGAACCTTTTTGTCAGTAACTTTGGAAGATGAAATGTTCTTAAAATCAGATTGTCTTTAAGCTATTTTCCTTCGGGAGTTCTTTTACTTTTAGATTTATTTTTCTACATATAAGATTTTACCTGCATCTGTGTGTACATGCAGTGCCTGCTCAGGCCAGAAGAGGGTGTCAGATACCCTAGAGCTTGGGTGACAGGATTATCAGCCACCATATAGAACCTGCTAATAGCCTGGGCTCTGTTGTTGTTTTTGGTTTTTTTGAGAGGGGATTTTCCTGTGTAGCCCTGGCCATGCTGGAACTCAGTCTGTAGACCAGGCTGTCCTTGAACTTAGAGATTCGCCTGTCTATGCCTCCTAAGTGCTGGAAATCACAGCCATGTCAGCTTTACAGATAAGTTTTATTATGTAGAGGGTAGCGGTAATAGATTGCCAAATGCTTTTTACCTTTTCCTGAGAGCTGAGTTAAGAAATATGCAGAAGTAACAGAGGGACTGAGGAAATGATGAGTCTAGAAGCAGCTATCAAGCAGGGTACCCATGGAGTGATAAGAAGTGGATTGTAGATACCAAGAGTGGTAGAAAAAAATTAAATCATGCCTGTGAGCTTATGTTATGCTGCTGTGCACCTTCATGAGCAGAGAAGCACTGGGGCGGGGTAGGGGGAAGGAGACAGAAGTATTTTAGGGTGTGAAAATTCAGTCTTCCATTTCCCCCGATTTTGTACTGGAATCGGGCACGTCCTGCCATAGTTAGTGTTGAGCTGGCTAGAAAGGACTGGATTGGTTTTTGTTTAATTTCATGTGTCAACTTTTTTCTCCATTTACAAGTCATTTGGTTAAATCAGTTGAGGTTCCATAAAAACTATGATTAGAAGTTACTTCATTATAATTGCTATTTATCAATTTAAAACAAAAAATTTTAAATAATGAAATTTAATTATCTCAGCCATGTTTGGTGGCACATAACTATGACCCAGCTGGTAGCAGAGTCAGGAGAATCCTGCTTTTGAGACCGGCCCAAAATATATAGTAGGATCCCGTCTTGGAAAATAAAAACAAAGTCACTTAACTTCCCAACTTATAACTGAATATATAGAGTATTTTTTTTTTTTAGTGTTTGGCTAGTGAAGAAGAGATTAATAATATTTGTTTATATTATTCTACCCTGCTCTTTATTTTTCACTTATGGTAGATACTTTCATTGCCTCCACCTCTTGACCATTATGAATATTTCTGAGAATATGATATGCATATATCATATCTCAGTGTTGTTTGCTTGGGATTTTTATTTGTTGTAATTTGTGTATTTGTGTATATTAATTATACATGATAATTGTTCTTTGTTTTTTTTTTTTTGCCTTGTTTATCAATACTGTGTCATTTCAAATACAGATGTTAAGTTGTCCTAGATAATAGGAAGCCAGGAGTGGGTTTAGGTGTGAAATCTGCTTTTTGGAAAAAGACCTATATTCTTCTGCAACTGTATTCCAATACATCCCAAAGAGTTTAGCTAAATTGAACATCATGAAATGAAAAATAATGACACTATATTAAACTCTTTTGAACAGTGTTATCAGTATGTAATATTTCTATATAGTTCAATAGTAAAAAGGTCCAAAGCATCTGTAATAAAACTTTCTGCTGAGAATATAGAATGTATGCCTGCAATACACACAGCCCTGGATTCAATCTCTAGAACCAAAAAGAAATGTTTCCTAATCCATCCCTTTCTACCCATCTGTCTTCTATGATGGCTGTTAACATTACCAATGTCTTATTTCCTTCTGTTGATATTTTTTAATATAATTTTTTATTGAAAAAAATTTTTTTCCGCCTCCTCCCCGCCTCCCATTTCCCTCCCCGTCTCCCTTTTCCCCCCTCCTCCCTCTCCTCTCCCCCTCCCCCCACTCCTCTCCCCCTCCCTCTCCAGTCTGAGGGGCAGTCAGGGTTCCCTGCCCTGTGAAAGTCCAAAGTCCTCCCCGCTCCATCCTGGTCTAGGAAGGTGAACATCCAAACTGGCTAGGCTCCCACAAAGCCAGAACATGAAGTAGGATCAAAACCCAGTGGCATTGTCCTTGGCTTCTCAGCAGCCCTCATTGTCCGCCATATTCAGAGAGTCCGGTTTTATCCCATGCTTTTTCAGTCGCAGTCCAGCTGGCCTTGGTGAGCTCACAATAGATCAGCCCCACTGTCTCCGTGGGTGGGTGCACCCCTCGTGGTCCTGACTTCTTTGCTCATATTTTCCCTCCTTCTGCTCCTCCTTGGGACATTGGGAGCTCAGTCCGGTGCTCCAGTGTGGGTCTCTGTCTCTATCTCCATCCATCTCCAGATGAAGGTTCTATGGTGATATGCAAGATATTCATCAGTTTGGCTATAGGATAGGGTCATTTCAGGTTCTCTGTCCTCAGCTGCCCCAGGAACTAACTGGGGACATCGCCCTGGGCACCTGGGAGCACCAACTTCTGTTGATATTTTATGGCATAAGGAAATGCATAGAGTTTTGTGGTTCTGCTTCTTCCTCCAGATCGCCGGTGCATTGGTTCATGAGGGTGGAGGGAGCAGGAGGAGAAGCAGGGAGCAGGGTTTGATTGGCTGTGGGAAGATGCTGACAGCCCTCTGAAAGACAGCTTTGGTGAATCTGCTCAGCTTTATTCCAGAGTATAGGAAATATATAGGATTGGGGAGCCTGGGGGCAAATCCTAATTTGCCTTAGGTGACACGGTCCTATCATAAGGCTTTGTACAAGGCTGCAGGATCCTATCGCAAAGTTCCTGGCACAAGTCTGTGTGCTGCAGGGGAGGCTTCTAGCAGGAAACCCTAGAGATAAACAGGCCTGCCAGACAGCTTTCAGATAAGGTTCAGGAAGCTGTAGGCCCAGGGACATTATCCAGATAAGGGCAGGTAGAGAACAAGTCTTGCTGGGGGAGGGGGTGGGAGTCCCCCTGTCCCTGAGCTTTGGAAAAAAGCTGCCAGGCCTTCCCACAGATTTTCCTCACCCCTTTCACACGAATAATGGCAGTCTGTGCCCATCCTTTTCAACCCCTTAATCACTTTTATATTACATTTCTGGGAGTTGAACTCTATCACTTTTGATGATTTAAGAATGTTATATGACTAGAAATTTACTCCACTCTTCATGAAGTTATAATGCTATATTAAATAACTTAAAATATATCAACAGATGAGCAGGTATGTCTGCAGAATAAATTTAGGTAAACTACTGGGCAGAAGACTTTGTGTGTGTGTGTGTGTGTGTTTTCAAGGTTCATTGTAAGTAACTCAGTTAAAATAGACGCAGAAAGGAAAATAGAACCTGTTGCTGAAAGATTCTGAATTAGAATAGGTTTTCAGTAAATGTTATGATTTATGTTCTACATAAGGCTAAAAATAAAATTGAACACTTCTGCCCTACCTCCATGCACAAATCATTACCACTGACCTCAACTTTAGCTCGGGGTTGTGTAGTGTTGGGCTGGCTTTTGCTTGGTTGGTTTGCACACTTAAATGCCTGCTGAGGGTTAGTGATTTAACTAATTTTAAGGAAGTGCTATTTCAAAAGGAAATTAAATACAGATACTGTAGGTGTAACTTGTGTTTTAACTAGTTTGTAGCAAATATTTTGACATATTTTTGCAACTGAACAATAAATGGGATGCTTTGCTATTCTCATTGCACCTTGGTGGCTGTGTACAGAGGTTTGTGTTAAAATTCTTAACTGCTTCCTAGTAAACAACATACTTTTTCATGGATGTAATACTTTTAATTTCCTAAATTAAAAAAAAATCAGATTTTATTTAAATTGAACTAAAAATAAAGTGACCAAGTAAGACAGCCTTGCCAGGGGTTTGACAGTTTGTGAAGCAAGTTACTGGACTTACTGCAGTCAAGGCAAGACATTCCTCTGTGAATATTATTTTAGTGAGTCAAAGATGAACTAGACAGGCAGGGGAAAATGAACATTTCTTTTACTCTTTGCTCTTCTGCTTTTAGCTTGAAAAGAGAAGTAGCTGAGTTTTGGGGTTTTTTTTGACTTGTCTATTTCCTGTTGCTCTTGTAATCCATAGGGATATCTGTGTTTGCCTTACATGGCATTGCAGCAGCATCATCTTCTCTCTGATGTCACTGTTCGGGGATTTGTGGCTGGAGCTACTAACATCCTTTTTCGACAACAGAAGCACCTCAGTGACGCCATTGTGGAAGTATGTTTATGTCTAAGTGTATGCACTTGGCCTGCTGACTCACTTACTTCTTTCCTAAATATAATTATGAAGCCGTAATAACAGCACTAATAAAAATAATGTTTTCTGTATTCCAGTAATTTTAATTATATCTTTTTGTCTGTTTTGGGTTTATTTCTTTTGTTTTGTTTTAAATCAGGGTCTCTGTGTAGTCCTGGCTGGCCTGGAACTCAGAGATCTGCCTGCCTCTGCCTCCCAAATGTTGGGATTAAAGGTGAACCTCATTATGCCTCCTTACTTTATTTAACTGTTCTGACTTTCCTAATAGCCCTATAAGATAAGTACTGTCTATATTTTGCACATACATAAGCTAAGGCACACAAGTTAAGTGATTTTTTTTCCCCATTCTCAAACACTGGTAAATGCTTGAGCAAGGATTTCAGCCTGAGTGAACCAGACCTATCATGGTCTCCGTGCCTTATTAAAATGTGAAATCTTTTCAAAATAATTTAAACACATATTCTACTTAATATGTTCCTGATGTTAAGGAAGTTCAGAGTAGATATTTGATACCTTATCAATATCACTAAATTTTTTGTTGTTTTTCAAAACAGAGTTTCTCTGTGTATCTTTGGAGCCTGTCCTGGAACTAGCTCTGTAGACCAGCCTGACCTCAAAATCACAAAGATCCACCTGCCTCTGCCTCCCGAGTGCTGGGATTAAAGGCGGCAAATGTTGGGATTTTTAACTTCATTAAGGTTTTTATAATTACTGACAGAAATTTCATACTTTATGGGGAAATGGTTGAAATATAACCGTTTAAAAATCCAGCTTTCAAAATTATATTATTATCCCAAATTTGAGTGAGGGGGAAAACACTATATACCAGATAGGAGGGCACAGGTGAGAGAACCACAGAGTGCTTTAACATTCAGAAGTCACTAGATAGATATTTTATTATTTCATTCAAAATTAACCTGTTGGGGGTTGGTATATTGGTATAGTGGTTGCTAAGTATGCCTAAAGTCCTAAATTTAATCACCAGCAGCTAAAGAACAAAGCAAACCTCGCAAGTACATAAAGTGTTACGTATTTAAAATATCTTGAAGTATCCAAGCCCTCAAAATGGAAAATTTTAAAGGACTTACAACTAAGTTTTTTTTCTGTGTTATTATAAGGGCAGGTTTCATTGTGTATATATCTATATTTCCTCAAATATTTAACCAAAGATTTCTAAAGGGGTGAATTACTTTTATAGTTCAAAGTTATGTTCTTATTTGCACTTGTATTTTCTTTCTGAAGTCATCCTTTTTAAAGACTTACTTGTATGTGCTTATTTTGCTTGCATACGTGCACACCTGGTACCTGTGGAGGTCAGAAGTGAGTGTCAGATCCCCTGGAACTAAAGTTACCCATGGATGTAAGCCACCATGTAGGCGCTGTCAAGCAAGCCCAGATCCTCTCCATGAGCCGCAAGTGCTCTCAGTCAACTATACTCCGCTCTCCATATTTTCTAAAAATAAAAAGGCATTTTTTATAGAAATAGAGAAAGTACATAGAAGCGTCAGTGTAAAAACCTGACTCTTAGACTTATCTTTGAGAATACTGTTACATTTTTATTTTCTTTTTTCTTTTCAACTCCAGTTCCCCAAAGTTTTCTTTTTAAGATGTGGCATGGATATCCGTGTGAGTATCCCAGCTCTGACTTGTCCCTGGGTACTGTTCTAGGTAGAAGAAGCACTGATCCAGATCCACGATCCAGAACTTAGGAAGCTGCTTAACCCAACCACTGCAGACCTGAGGTTCGCAGATTACCTAGTGAGGCACGTGACTGAGAACCGGGATGATGTCTTCCTGGATGGCACAGGCTGGGAGGGAGGTGATGAATGGATCCGGGCCCAGTTTGCAGTCTATATCCATGCTCTGCTGGCTGCTACACTGCAGTTAGGTAAGCAGCACACAGCCACATTTCTTCCTATAAATTTTCATGTTCTGATGCTTATGGATATTTTGGGTTGCATAAAAGAGATATTCGTTATAGAAAATCACCTGTTATACAGATGTGACAACTATGGCATTTTGAGTACTTGATCCAAAATGCCAAACCCTTTTCTTTCATTTGTTTTGGACTTTGGTTTTATGGTTTACAGTAGTCTTTACAAAGATGAGTCTATTTAAGCATGTTCTCTGACCATTCTTTTTTTTAATTATTATTAAATTTTACTCCTTTTGCGGGAGGAGTTTTAAGACAAAGTTTCTCTATGTATGTCTCTGGCTGTCCTGGAACTCACGCTGTAGACCAGGCTGACCTCAAACTCAGGGAGATCCACCTGCCTCTGACTCCCTGGGTGCTGGGATTAAAGGTGTGTGTGCGCCACCACCGCCCGGCAGTTTTACTCTTTTTTATGATAGAAACATGAACATGTGTTAAGTCAATATTAATTGTTTTCTCCAACTTGAGTACTGACTATTTTGTATCAAGGGGAATGATGGCATTTGGCCGTTGTTTATAAACTGCTTACACATTTTCAGGTTCTGAAGAAATTTTTTTTTTCTGAAGAAATATTTTTAAAGAAAATGTTACAAATCATATTCTGAATGTCTAAACCTTCAAAGTTTTAACCCATTCTAAAAAAAAAATTATTTTTTCTGCCTGGGTAAAACTACTTCATTTTACTTAGAAAATAATATGAACCAAAAGTGGAACGTAGCAATGAGCGTTTCTACCCTGGAACTCTGGCAAATACTTGTTGCAAAAGTAGACTTCAAAATATTTTTCATTTGTCATTACTGAAAAATGACATTACTTTTTTTAAAAACTAGCAACGAGATATATGCAGCATGCAGTTTACCTTTTCGTAATACCTTGTGAAAGTGCGTGTCCACAGTGTTGTGTTATTTGTGGTCTTGTCATTCCCACCTGCCAGGGTGGTTTAAATCCAGGTTTCAGTGATGTCCTTCATTATAAAGCAAAACTAGTGATCAATTTCTCATTTATTAGTTGAGTTTTTTAAGTGTCTGTCACCTCTACAAATATAGGAGCAGAGGCATCAAAATTAAATCTTGTAATTTAAATTTACTTACTAATCAAAAAAAGAAACCCAGATAGCCACCAGGTTTTTTTACTTCATGAGTAATCAACTTAAAAAAAATAAATTAATACTTGTAAGGTCTGTTCTGAACACTTTATAGCTAATTTTATAGCTAATATTCTTTTTTTAAAAAAATGGTTTCTCTATGTATCCCTGATAGTCCTGGAACTCACTCTGTCGACCAGGCTGGCCTCAAATTCAGAGATCCACCTGCCTATGCTTCCCACATTTCTGGGATTAAAGGCATGCACTACCACTGCCCAGCTCATTTTGTAGCTAGTAATTAGTTTTTACCTTAACAATAATCTTAGATATTCTGATTTAAAGTCCTGCCTTGCTCATTCATCTGGTTGAGAGGCTTCTGTTGCCTGACTCAAGTCCATTCTCAAGCACAATCGGGTGGAGTGTGAACTTCAGAAATACTTTGTGGAAGCATACCTTTATGCTGTAGATGGAACCGTGTGTCTCCTAGTCCTTTCCTAGTAACAAAAGCTACTTGCATTTCACCTTCAAAGCAAAAACACAGCAGACATGATGGCATGTGCCTCAGATATCACCTGCCTGGACAGAAGAAAGCAGAGACCAGAAGAGTCCCAAGAGTTTGAGGCCAGCCTGAGTACATAGCAAGACTTTGTCTCAAAAATAAAGTAGCAAACCTGTATGCCTGTGATAAATGCGAGGCAAGAGCTACTTGGATCAGTTCACCAGACCTTTTCCGTCCCTCCAGGCAGAAGTGCTCTGTGTTCACACTTCCCTATGGTATCAAGAAAGGCAAGAGCTGTTTAGCATTAATGTGAAAATCCTGTCTGTGGTAAGGACTTTTGATAGTACAGTGCTTACTCAAGCATGAAGCACCAAATAGTGAGACAAAGTCTAAAGAAAACGTGGGTAAAGAAGCCGTTTACGTGCTTGTTCTTAACTCCCTAGGCATTTGTGAAGAGACCCTAAGTGCCCTGCATAAGCCATTATGACTGCTCAGCTTTAGTTTTTCTTTAATAAGTAATATGATCCTTCTAACGGTAAAGGATCATGAAAACATTTTGGCATTGTAGAGAGCCTTGGGAAATGTTTGGCCCAGTCCTCGTATTTTCTAGTTAAGAAAATGAAGTTCTGAGTGATGAAGTGACTTGTTGAAGACTACACAGCTTCTTAAGAGGATTTCTGGAACTAGACCCAAGTCTGCTGACACCTGTAGGTTGTGTCCCCACAATGTGGGTGTGGGATTTCAAACTATGCTTTCACCTTTTGCGGTTACTAATCTTCATGCCCAGATGGCTGTGGTCCAGCTCAACTTCTTTTCAACCATTTACTTGGCAGATAATGAAAAGATGTTATCAGACTATGGGACAACTTTTGTTGCCGCCTGGAAGAATACTCACAACTACAGGGTATGGAACAGCAATAAGCACCCAGCACTTTCAGAGATAAACCCAAAGTAAGCACATCCTCTAGACTAATGGGATGGAAAGCGGTTGCTTTACAAACAGTCTTTCTGTTATTGAGACAGTCTCCCTATGTAGCCCTGCCTAAACTGGAACTCACTGTGTAGACCGGGCTTGCTTCAAACTTATAGCCACTTGCCTCTGCCTTCCCAGTGCTTGGATTTAACGTGTTTACCACCACTCCTAACTGAAATACTATTTTTAATGATACAAGCATTCATTGTATTTTGAACTTTATTTCTTGGTAAGAAATGGACAAAATCAACTTTATATTAAAAAGAAATACAAAATCAAATTTGTATTTGGTGCTATAGTTTATTGTTTTTAGCTAAAGAGGAAATGTGATTAACTGATGCTAGAAAGGATAAACACACACACACACACATTTTCCAATGTACAGACTAAACAGTATCAACTTGTAGATGCAACTGCATAGGGAGGTAGTTTCAGAGCAATTGAACACATCTATTATCTTCATAGTATCTCAAAGAAAATGAATATGTTCAACCCTAACTGGTGATTTTTGGGGGGGCTATAGCACAACCTGTATTATCATCTGAATATATTAAAAAGTCTAAAAGCAAGTGTCAGTTTAGTGCCATTAAATGAAGGAACTAAGAGTTCAATGTAGTCTGCTTGCTAACTACAAGGTCTATCTTCCGAGCTATGTGGAGGGAAACGTGAGCTGGTTTGCAGGGGACACTTGAGGTGACTCTACTTACAAGGTGGGTCAAGCTAATTGTCAGGTCCACAGTATGTGCTCCATCTCCATCATTGCATCTGATACTGTTAACCTGAACCAGCTCTACAGATCTTAATGCTAGTACATAGACTTAGCTAGAATGGGCTTTAAAGGATTATAAAATGGTACCTAGACAAAATGTATAATGAAACTAAAATTATGGAAGTTGAAAAGCAGACCAAAGTGTAGCTCTGCATTGTAGCACATGCTTGTAATCCCACACTCAAGAGGCTAAAGTAGGAGAGTTGTAGGTTGGCTGCATGACAAGACTTGTCTTCAAAACCAAAAAACAAGGATGATGCCAATAGACATGCTAACACAAAAGGGGGAAATCTGGGCCTTCAAACCCAGACCAAGACTACAGACAGAATGCTGAGAACAGAAGTCTTTCCAGGGAAGAGCCCCCAGACCTGAAATCATATACATAAATTAACATTGTACAGACTAAGGGGTGTGTGTGTGTGCATGTGTACACAATTAAAGAAATAGAGGTCATGAATTTGAAAGAGCAAGGCCATTTACATTGGAAATGTTGAATGGAGGAAAGGAAAGCAAGGAAACTATGTAATTATATTTTAATTTTAAAAAATATTTTTTAAAACTACATATAGAAAACAACAAATAAAGATACTTTGTTCTTACATTTTTAAAACAAAAAGGGGAGAAGATTGAGGACAAAGAGGCCTGTTTGGGTAGTAATTAGGCAGTCATGATAGTAGATTTTAGACATTTTCACCAGATTGAAAGTAGGAAGTGATAGTCTTCATTATCAGGAAGTGTAATTTGAAACATTCCAAATACCGTTCTTTGAGATCTGTGACACTTTTTTCAGCTCCTAAAAAGGAATCCTCTAAATTACCAAGCGTCAAACACATGCCACCCCTGAAATCAAGCCTTTTTGAAACAGGGAAAAAGACTGATTGGGGATGCTTTTGTGATTTTGCACTGTTTGGTATTGAATCAGGACTTTGAACATGTTAGACAAGTGATATACCAACTATAACCACAGCGTGTTTATGTGACTTGTTAGATTAGTCCTGAGATCTGTAAAAGGAAGACTTGTTCTATATGCTCACTTTGACCCACAACTCTTTGCTGTCATTTGAATAAAACTATAGCATTTTGTAAGAAAGTGAATTTCACTTTCTTCATAGCACTGGAAGAGGGACCCGAGTGTAAGACAAGAACTGTCTATTGACCTCGCTCTTCCAGTCTTTACAGGGTGACCAGGATTAAGGTACAGTCATCACTGTGGCCTAAGTCAGTTACACACCTGATTTCCTGGTGTGTTTTTAATCTGGATTAAGACTTGGACCCCACCCCAGATGAAGGAAGGGTGTTGTTAGTACTGTGTTGAGATAGTGTTAACACCCCAGGCACACATGTCCACCTCTAACCACGTTTATCCATTACACAAGGAAAGAAGATAGAGCTCAAAACTGTTGGGTCACATCTTCTAACGCTCGTATTAGGAATGATGCATGGGACCCCACTGTTGGTTTCAGTTCTTGTGACTGCTCTTTGCAGCTCTGTGATGCTCGTAATCTAAACTTAAGCTTTGTTTTACAGCCATCCTTTTCAAGGCCAGTACTCGGTGTCAGACATGAAACTCAGATTCTCACAGTGAGTACTCACAGAAAGTAAGGGAAATTATTCTGTCTGAGTATATGCCATGTGCCTCATTGCCGGTTGGGAAGTTTATCTTCTTGATGGACTTGTGTTTCAAATAATAGCCCAATGAGCATAACATTCTGTAGTTCAACAGGGTGCATTTTAAAATGAAAATGCTCTGTCCATACACAATAGTATGAAAAATTGGCAGAATATAGCCATTCTTACTTTGATGACTTGCTCTGAGCAAACCGTGTCTGTCAAGGACATAAATCTTTATGTCCTCACCTCTTAGCTCATTTCTGTATTCTTTTAGTATATTCTGTATTTACTTATAATAATATTGCTTTTTATTTTTCCAGTATTAATTTGGGATGATAATAAAGTGGTTTGGTTGTGGGTGTTCACAAATGTTTAAGATTTTTAAAAATTGTTTCTTTTCTTAGTTCTGTTCAGAACAGTGAACGTGGCAAAAAAATTGGTAATGTCATGGTCACAACCAGCCGGAATGTGGTACAAACAGGAAAAGCTGTTGGTAAGGCACACCCTCAGCAGAAGCTGCTGTCATATGTATCTATTTTCTGTTTTCAGTGTGTAGTTTGTTAAAATAAAGTTGTACATATTTGTGGATCATGTAATGATAAAAAGGGGCTTTTTAATTTTCAGTCTTAAAATTAAAGAAGGCATTTATGTTTTCCAAGTAGATGGGTAAAAGAGATGCTGGAGCGGTGACACCACTGGGGACTCACAACAACTGAAAGGACAAAGGAAGCTTGAGAGTAATTTTGTCAGCAGACTTGACAGTATAGGTGGATAGATTCCTTGAAAGGCAGAAACTAATAAGGAATTTTAAAACAAGAATAGTTCTGAATCTGCTGAAGAAATTAAAACTTGGTGCAAGGTTTCTAATTTAAACACATCCATGTTAGCTTCACTTTTTCTTTCTTTCTTCCTCCTCCTTCCTTCCTCTTTCCCTCTGCCTTCCTTCCTCTCTCCCTCCTGCCCTCTTCTTCTCTTTCTCTTACTCGACCACTTCTTCTTGTTTGTCAAGACAGGGTCTCACTTTGTAGGCCAGATTAGCCTGAAACTCTGGATCCTCCTAACTCAGCAACCTAGGTAAGAAATAACATAAATTGTATACAGAACTTTCAGAAAGTCGTGAATGAGCTAATACTTTCCACCTCATTTTATGAGGCCAGTATTAACCAGATACCCAAAGCTAGGTAAATCATTGCATATTACGTATATCTGTTGAGGGAGCGGCGGGGCTGCGTCCCCGGCACCCGGCCGCCTGCATGGCTTATGCCCCGAAATAATTACACGGAAACTGTATTCTTTTAAACACTGCCTGGCCCATTAGTTCCAGCCTCTTATTGGCTAGCTCTTACATATTGATCTAACCCATTTTTAATAATCTGTGTAGCCCACGAGGTGGCTTACCAGGAAAGATTTTAACCTGCGTCTGTCTGGAGTGGGAGAATCATGGCGACTCACTGACTCAGCTTTCTTTCTCCCAGCATTCTGTTGTGTTTACTCCATCCACCTAAGGGTTGGCCTATCAAATGGGCCTAGGCAGTTTCTTTATTAATTAACCAATGAAAGCAACAGATCAGAAAGAAATCACTCCCACATCATATATCCTCCTGTGCCTAGCTTTTGTTTCCACTTAAAAGGTTTGAAGATTATTCCTTGTTGAATCAGAATAAAAAAATAACTTCTTTATTTTCTCTTCTCCCTTTTTCCTTTTTTTTTTTTTTTTTTTTTTTTTTTT